GATCCTTCAACAAGATGGATGTGATGGTTAACCGTTCTATGAGGAGGCAATTCTATGGGTGTAGAAAAATGGACTTAAAACGTTGTAATAGATCAGTAACTGGGCTGGGTAGGTTGGATGGAAAATTGCTGGATGGTTCTGGGAGAGAATCAACATCTTGAAGGGACGTCATGATGGTAAAAACACTGGCCACATTATTGGTGTGAACCAATGCTTGAAGTTGATGCAGTGACACTGATTGTGAGGCTAGAGAGGCATCACCTACTAAAGTAACTTGGGTCCCTTGCCACATGAACTCCATAGTGAGAGCCGAATAATCATGAGCAACTTTGCCCAAAGATTGCAACCAAGGAAAGCCCAACACAACATCGGGACCTTCAATGTTCAGGATAAACAAATCCACCTCAAATTTAATGTCCTGTAAGATAAGAGGGACATTATGGCAGCAAAATTGACAAACCAAGAAGGTTTCACAACCAGTTGCGACCTTGAAACGAGGGCATGGTTTGATAGGTAACCCCAATCGTTCCACTAACGCAGGCTTGATAAAGTTGTGAGTGATCCCACTGTCAATGAGGATGGTGAATTTTGTTTGGTTATAAAGGCCAGAAACACGCAAGGATCGACTTTGAAGCTGGCTGGACAAGGAGTGAAGGCTGGATATGTCACCCGAGACATCATCTATTGAGTTATCCTCGGATTTCGGTGGGGGTTCCTCTTCATCCGCTCCCATGAGGATAAGCACGCGGTTTTGGCATCGGTGAGATGGGTTCCATTTCTCATCACATTTAAAACAGAGACCTTTTGAACGGCGGTCTCGGAGTTCGGCAGAGGGCATGTTCCGCACGGCAGGGTTTGAGTGTGGTGTGGGTAAGAGTGGTGGTAACGATGTTGCAGTATTGTTTGATGGGTTATTTGGATTTGAATTGAATCAGTTTGTTTGATTGTGGTTAGGTTGGGTATGTGAGCCTGTGGAGTGTTGTGGGCCGCGAGACCACAATTTGCCTATGGTTGGTGTGTTATCAAAACGGGTCTCATATGCTCTGGCCATGACGAAGGTTTCCATTAACGTAGCAGGTCGGTGAAATTGCAATTCCCGTCTCAAATGCTTTTTCAGTCCCGTAATGAAAAAACTGATCAGTAGTGATTCGGAGATACCGTTGACCTTGTTCATCAATTCTTCAAACTGGGCTTGAAAATCAGCTACAGAGCCGGTTTGAGTTAATTTGGAGAGTTCACCTTCAATGTCTTCGTACTGAGTTGGACCGAAGCGGTGGCGAACAACGGTGAGAAAAATTGGCCACGATGGTAACAAATTGTTACGTGTTGCCCATTGGAACCAGCCAGCAGCGCGTTCGTCAAGATGAAAGGCTACGATCTGAAGTCGGGACTCTTCCGGAGTTTCGTGGAAGTTGAAGAAAGCTTCAATCTGGAAAATCCAATCCAAAAGATTGGAACCATCAAAACGTGGTACGTTTAATTTCAGCGCACGTGACGTCTGCCCCGCAAATGCATTCTGTGGTTGTTTTTTGCCTTCGACGTGTAAGTTTGCGACCTTCGAATCAACTTCTACCAGGTGTTGGTGGAGTGTGGAATGAACTGACTCGGTATGGAACTCGAGTAATTCGTGAAACTTTACCATCTGTGCATCAATATTGGATTGAAGGGTGCTCATAAGCTCAGTTGTGTCCATGATGAAAGCACCAATGATACACTCTGCTGCAGAATGCTCAAAGGTTTTAACACTCTTCGAGTGAGTGTCCACTCCTCAGAAAATTAAGGGAAAGAGAATAATAGAATTTGGGGGAAAAAAGATCTTGAAAACTTTTTATTCTGTTCTGTTTTGATTACATCATAGCTATTAAAAGGAATTGGGTGCTAATAATCAAGCAAAAATTAGGGAAATAAAACAGGAATTAAACTAATAATTTGCAGCAGAAATTTCAAGAATTAATTTGAGCATATCAGGATCTTCTAATTTTGTCCGCAGACATAATTTGAGCATATCAGGATCTTCTAATTTTGTCCGCAGACATAATCAGTCATCCAAGCTGGCTTATTTCTTGCTTGTTTCCTTACTATTAGGTCATCCTTCCTTATTGGGTATGAGTCCACTGGTTGGTTTGTATCAATCCACATACAACCAATAGGTTTTGTTCCTTTAGGCAAATCTACCAAAGTTCAAGTATTATTTTTCTTAATTTAATCAATTTCAGTCTTAATGACCTTATCACAATGTATTGCATCAAGAGCCCTAGTAGCCTCTAAAAAACTCATTGGATTATTTTCAACTAGATAAGTGTAGAAATCATCTCTAAATGAGGTTTCCTTCCTCTGTCTTTTACTTCTCAAATCCTCATATATTTTATCACTATTAATATCTATAGATTGTTTAGGTGTCTCACTAACCTTTAGAGAAAAAAAATGTTCAAAGAACTCAATATTTTTTGTCTTCATTATAGTATTATGATCAATTATATCACTTTTGAGGACAAAAAAACTTATAAGCAACATTATGTTCTGCATAGCCTAAGAACATACAATCAGAAGTTTTAAAACTTATTTTCCTTTTCTTATGATTAGGTAACATTACCTTAGCTAGGCACCACACACTCTTAGATATTTAATATTAGGTTCATAACCTCTCCATAACTCATAGGGAGTTTTACCAATTTTCTTAAAAAACACACTATAAGTATATCTTCTCTCAGAGGTTATTTGGTGCACTAGAGTTGTTTGATTAAGTATACTTTTGTGTATGTAGAGTAGTCATCTATAAATGTCACAGATCATATGAATCAATAATATAAGCAGAAGAACAAGATTTATTAACAACCTCAGAGATGTTAAGTAAAAAAAAAAACCTTGATCACAATATCCCTTCCCTACAAGGACATTATTTTTTGTCATAACAATCTTATCAGATTCAAATCACACTTTAACCCCAACTTTTCCTTAGCTCTGATTAATGGCACATGTAGCACATCATTCAAGGTCAAAGTCTTTCTAGATGTGAGTTTTAGAAGAATTTTTCCTTTTTGTAAGACAGGAGTTGTCCTAGAATCACCGAGATAAATATGTTCTTCTCCATCCCCACACTAGTGTAAGAGGTAAAAGCACTTCTGTTTGCACAGATATGTCTGGTAACACCAGAGTCTATCACTCATTTGCTCACATTTGTCACAAGGTTTATTTGGAAAACGACTGCAATAATTGTATCTTTTCTTTGGCTAAATTTGCCTTAGGAGGATTGTCGTTTCTCATTTCATGTCTACACCGAGGTGCATGATGACCTTACTTTCCACAAAAAGCAATTTTCTTTTTTGAATGTAAAGTGGGGTTAGATCTACTGGTTTCATACAGTCTCAACCATTTCTTATAGGTATGTACAAAATAATATGGGGACAAAATAATATTCTAGTTGTACGTATATGTACAAAATAATATGTGGACAAAATAATATTCTACTTATACGTATGTACAAAATAATATGTGGACAAAATAATATTTTACTTATACGTATGTACAATATGCAGATAAAATAATATTCTACTTGTACATATGTACAAAATAATATGTGGACAAAATAATACTCTTCTTATACGTATGTACAATATGCAGACAAAATAATATCCTACATGTATGTACAAAATAAAATAATATGTAGATCTAAGTCATGCAGACGTAACTGTTAATTGTCCACTACCAAAAACAAATCTCTCAAATACTCATGCATAATTCATATACTCATGAAGCATAAATCATTTTTTCCACTTCATTGGTGTAATAAATCCGAAGAAAGAACATGTGTTTGACACATGTGCTCTATGGACAAGCTGCATGATGTATGCTGATAGCATTTGATCTAAAAGTTTACCTTTCTTTCATCGTAATTATAAAATGCAGTAATCAATTTCATATATGATTTACCTTTAACTCAATCACGTAATTTGCTTTTTCAATTAAAATCAATTACAGGGTCATTCACATTTCAATAAGAATTACAATGTCATTCACACAGGGGCTATGAAATTAATTTCAATTTGAAATTGATTGCAGCTTAAAACATAGATTATGATTTATTCCTTTATTCAATTTTGGGAAAAACATTAAAAATTATCATAAGAGAAAAATCATAAATCTAATAAGTATGACTCTGATACCACATGTATTTTAATTTGTAGTTTTTATACGTTACTAATTCTATAAAACTACTCTTCACGTCTAGATTCTTTATTTTCACATAATAACATACATGAATCATAATCATATAATAACATACATGAATTGATTCTCACATAATAACATACATGAATCATAATCAGAAGACTAATCTTGATCCATCAGCACTTCATAATTCCCTTTCTTTCACTATCCAATATTCTAAAACTGTTGAAGGAAGTTGTTATATTTGTACGGTCAGCCATAAGTCCTTAAGATTGTTGTAAAAGCTGACAGAGACACGAACAAACTTTATTCATGAGGCATGTATAAACACTGCCCTTAAGGACTTATCCACGGTGTATTGCGCAAGTCCCCCAGGATACAACAAGAACTTCTCGGAATATCCGAGGATCTCAGAAACTAGCAAGAAACTCTCAAAAGAGTAAATTAACCCAGGATAACAAAAAGAAGATCAAAGTAGAGTAGATGAGAGAGATGTGTTTTGAAGAGTGTGAAGTGGTCTCTATTTATAGGAGAAAGTTTGTAGCAGTTATGGAAGACTTGGTAATGGGTCTATAACGTTCTCTGAAACAGTCTTATGCAACGTTATCTGAAATAGTCTTTTGCAACGTGTAAGAACACGTTCTCTGAAACAGTCTTCTGCAACGTTCTCTGAAATAGTCTTCTGTAACGTGTGTGAGAACACGTTCTCTGAAACAATCTTCTGCAACTTGTGAGAACACATTCTTTAAAACGGTCTTCTGCAACGTGTGAGAACACGTTCTCTGTTTTGCAATACCCCTTAATTTTCAACAATCATAACATGTGTTAAACTTTCAAGAGAGAGACAAAGAGCACAGAACAAAGCACATTTCATTCCCTACAAAGGAAAACAGAAGGTTCATACAAACCTCTCCATAAGGAATCCTTGTATTCTGCCTAGCAAGGGCTCCAGCATCGACCATGGCATGTTTCTCAACATATACACCATCAAGCAAGGTTGCACCCATGCCAATAAATGCCTCATCCTCAACAGTACATCCTTGTAACACAGCACTATGACCTAAAATCACATTGCCAAAACCTTAGATAGAATTCACAATGCTTAAATCATTCACAAAACAATAATTCATCACATTCACTCACCTACAGTGACATTATCTCCAATGATAGCTGGTAAGACTTTTCCAGTTATATTAGACTTGGCAACATGAACAAGTGAATTGTCTTGTATATTAGTTCTAGATCCAATAACAATGCCGCTAACATCACCTTCACGCAAAACATACTGTTTAGTTAATGGTAGAATACAGGGAGAGAAGGACAAATATTGGAAGGAGGAAGCTGGGAAATATCAGGACTCAACCCCTGATATATTGAGCATGCAATATGCGTATAAAATGATTATGAATACATGTATATAGCATAGTAATAAGAGTGGTACAACGGTTGTCTTTCACATTCCATTGGATGTGAGTTGAAGCCATGAAAAGTGAAGGAATAGGTAAGAAAGTGTGGTCCTTACTATCTTATCAAAGAAAGCAAAATGCATACTAACTTAAGGCGTGTTTCAATATGATTTTGTAGAGTTAATTCTGAATCAACATGATTTATAAAGTAATTCTCACTAAGTGAGCTTTGTTGGGAAATTTGCAATCAAAATTGATTTTTGACAAGTTATTGCGCGAAAAATGGGTTTTATTGTACATATACAGGAGAGGAAAGATCTCCTTACTCTATGAGTAAATGTAAGGGAATTACTCCATATTTTCACCCTTCATTTTTTTTTTAATCTAATGGTCTCATATAATAATTCATCTTTATCATTAAATTATAAGAAAATAAATGATAAGGATGAGAAATAACCTCGTTACTCTTGGAAGAAATAGTTACGTCTAGGAGTAACTCATGATATGTTTCTCATCTTAAAAAATATAATATATATATATATATATATATATATATATATATATATATATATATATATATATAACTCATAATTATTACATTCCAATAGAAATTGAGCATCTCCAATGGTGGGTTCTTATAATAACTCACATTGGGTTCTTAAGTGGGGACCCACAGTACCACATCATATTTAAGCAACTTTCTTCACATTTTTATAAATTCACTTTAATGGTGGATTCTTATAATATAAGCAACTTATCATTCAACTACCACTTTTGACTTTAACGAGATCAAAAATATATTTAAATTAAAATAAAATAATTATAATATATAATTAATTATTAAAATAAAATAAATAACATATTTAAATTAAAAAAAAATAAAAAAAAATTGACATTGGAAATACGATTAACATTAATTAAAATACAAAATATTAAAAAACAATGACAATAAAAATAAACAAAAAAAATATTAGAAATATGATTTGTTGCATTCCTCTTATTTGTTGAATTCTTTTGGTGAGAATCGCGAGAACAAACGGACAAAAATTAGGAAAAACAACTCTTAAGAACATTGCTTCTACGAAATACGATGCTTAACTTTTTAAAATTGTTGCTGACACGTTGGAAATGACAGTTTCTTATAAACACCGTTGTTTATAAACAACTGGAGTCATAAGCAACTTTTGGAGTTGCTCTTAGAAATTTTAAACACATGTTCTCTCTTCTATCCTCTTTTATCGTTTACTCTTTTTTATTTATTTTTATAAGTTTCTTGACAAACAACTAACAAAAAATTTCAAGTAATTTATCATGTCATCTAAGATTTCTTTAGTGGAAAATTGTTTCAAATAACTACTACTCTAATTAAATATTTCAATAAACAACTCTTATTGGTGATACTATTATATATATACACTTTTACACATGCGTAGTTACTCGTATAATTTGAAATAAAATGTTTATAAGTTTCTTGACGAAACAACTATAAAAAAATTTCAAGTAATTTATCATGTCATCTAAGATTTCTTGAATGGAAAATTGTTTCAAACAACTACTATTTTAATTAAATATTTCCATAAATAACTCTTATTGGTGATACTGTTTTATATATATATATATATATATATATATATATATATATATATATATATATATATATATATATATATATATATATATATATATATATATATACTTTAGTTACTCCTATAATTTGAAATAAAATGTTTATAAGTTTCTTAATAAAGTAACTAACAAAACATTTCATGTAATTTATTAGGGATGACAAAACGGGTCAGCCAGTCCCATTTTGGCCCGTCATAATTTAGAAAAAAAATTAATTTTTAAAATAATTTTTTTTAATAAATTTAATAATAAAATTGTTATTTATTTGTCAATAATTCAATATATATATATATATATATATATATATATTATTTCAATTTAATAATATAAATCAATACATTGTTTTAAGAAATTATAATTTAGAACAATAATAAAATTTACATAATAATAAATAATAACAAATATATATATATATATATATATATATATATATAAATAACGTTAAAACTTATAAAATTTATATTTTTTATATTGAAAAATTCAAATACCTATATCTTTTTTATTTGATAAAACTTCACATTATTATTGGTTGAGTAATTCTTACACCTTTAATTCAAGTCATAAGGATAAAAATAATCAGTGTTTAAGATGAACAAGGAGAACACGAGAGAGAATGTTGTGTTTCAAGTAACAAAAATATTTTCTATGAGAGTGAAACTTTTTTAATTCTCTTTTTAAAATTTTTAATTTTATATATTATCTTTATAATTAATTTTATTACAATAGAAAATTATTTTTTTATTAATTAGGTTGGCCGTAGGCTGATCCGATCCGTCTCGTGAGTTAGCTCTGCGGGTTGACGGACTTGGCGGGGTGGGCCAAAGCGAGCTGGTGGGCTAAAAACACCAACCTGCCTCACCATATCATAGGGGATGACAGGTCGACCCTCCGGACCTGACCGTTTTGCCATCCCTATAATTTATATGTCATTCAAGATTTCTTCAATGAAAAATTGTTTCAAATAACTACTACTTTAATCAAATATTTCAATAAATAACTCTTGTTGGTGATACTGTTTTATATATATATATATATATATATACTTTTTAGACAGGTAAATTAAGATAAATCACATTTAAATTAAAACAACAAACAATAATGGTTTATTGAAAAGATAGTTGCCTTATAGGCGAGAGCCGAGGCGATCGATTGCTTGGTCGGTCTCACGGATCCAAAGTCCCACGGCGTAGAAAACTCTGTCTATGGTTCTCATTCTGCTATGGATAGTGGTTGTGACACTGCCGCCTCACTTCTACTCCGATCTTCTCTTCTCTCTTCAACCTATTTTTTTTCTCTCTTCAATAACACTAATTTCTGCAAAACATTTACATGATTTACATTAATTATGTATAAACCAAATAAATAAATAAATAAACATTTCCGTGGATTTAGAAATTAGATTTACCTTTTCAACCATAAATAAATAAATAAATATTTACCTTCTTACAAGCATATTTAATTTTTAACTCTATGAAAATTAGTGTAGTGTTTTGTCTCAAGAAACGATTCATACATGCTACTTGCTCCCTTTATATTAGTGTATTATTATTCAACAAACATATTTAATTTTTTTGACAGTTTTTCTTTATTAACATGATAAAAAAATAATTTTTAATTAATTATCGATGACAATATTATATTTTTTACTAAAAAATTAGCGGGTCTTAATGAAAAAAAAAAGTGCATTTTATAATATTTAGGATAACATATATGAAAATATAGCATTTTTAATATGATCGCATCATAATACTTCATGGTGGCAACTGTTTTTACTAGCTTCTAGGATCTATAATATTTGAAAATTTATACTTATAGTATTAACATACACTTTTAAATATGCTTCTATATTTCAATAAAACATGCGGAAGTAGGACCTATTTGAAATTTAAAACTTCATAAAATACTTTTTATCTTTATTGATCAACCGAAATAATTTAAAAAAATATATTCTAAGAAAATAAAAAGCCCACAATCATGGAACTAATGTATATTTGTTCCCATTATTTTAAAAATACTGTTAGATTGAAATGGAATTCAAAATAATCACATTTAGGTAGAGTTTTGGATTCTTAAAATTAATTGTTGTAAATCAAATTAATTTGGGAAGTAGACGTTTTTTAAACATTCTCATCATGAAAATGTTCATTGTACGCATGAATTTTATGGAAGTTGTAAAAACAAACGTAATTTTACATTTGGAATACTAATTTCAAAATATTTTTTTTGTTTAAATTAATTTTCTCAAGATCTACCTCAAATTGAGTTTTAAATTTAAATCAATTTCAAGACTCTCAAAACAAGACTAAATCTAACTTAAGTTATATTTTAAAATAAAAGTTAACTTTTTACCTGATTTGACCTTACATTAGATCAATAGAACTCTGATTAAATTAAAAAAAAATGAGATATTTATATAAAAATAATTTATTTTTAAAAAAATATTTTTATAATTTAAAGTATATTAATAAAACACATTTTATTTCATATATAATAATTAAGTTCTTAAAATAAAAATCCCTTCACTTCAAAATATAAATTAGAAATTTACTTTAAATTCTTATTATTCATTAATCTAATCATCTACAATAATAATTCATTTAATTAATTTTAATCATTAAAGTTTACTCAACAAATAAATATTAAAAAATTTCTATAATTTTTATTATCAAAATTTTTTTTTCAATTTATTTATAATATATATATATATAATAAAATAATATTATTTTTATTTAATTTAAAAGATAAGTACTATTTTATAAAATATGAAATCGAAATCTTACCCACTAATATAACGTAACCACCAACTAAACAAGTTAAATCAAAATTTACATTTAAGCCACAAATTATTTTCACCGACCCATTAGACTAAACTAGGACCAGTCTATTTTATTATTCTCTAACCAGTGTGCGTGTTTTGGACACCCGTGCAAAACGCAAGTTTATCATATGTCAAATTTAAAGAAAGATGGCTGAAACCATTATTTGTAACTTCTATTGAGAAAATAAAATCAAACATGCAGTGAAAGAGGAATTTGCTTAACCGAAAATTCATGGTGGGTTGATTGAGGCTTTCAGGAATGTTCAACTAAAAATGAGTTTCTTTATTTGGTGGCAGTACAACCGCATCTCAAAAGCAGGAGTATTAGACGCTGTTGTGTCAAGAGCCTAGCAGCTAGAGTGCCATAACACAACGGCACGGAAACTAGAATGTTGGAGTTTCATTCACATTTTTCACAATTAATTAGAGATCACTGAAATTGAGTATCAAGTTTCTAAAAAGTTAGTGCCTTAAGCTCTCAACTATGTAAGCAGCATACAAATCCCTGTAAAATGAAACACCCATTTCAGAAATATAAAATAGGCATTTAGTGCCAAGTATCCAAAAATAGACACAAAATTCGAGTCGCGGTAAAGGAAAGTAGCTTACATGGAATACTTGATGGCATCTATTGCAGCTTCAGCTGGTAGAAAGTCCTCAACATCAACTTTTTTGTTTTCATTCTTCTTGTCTAGAGTGGGAAGCTAAGGATACATGCAGAAAACTAGGGGATGCGGCATGAATATAAGAAAATCACTTAGCAGTCATCAAAACTATGGGAGATTTAGTGTATTTGGTTACAATCCATTAGAAACTCCTTGCACGGGTAAATGTGAAAGTAAAAAGTTTTATTAATGGCCCAAAATTCTTTAGGCTCTATTCTAAGAGAAAGCTAATCATCAATGTGTAAGAAACTCAATAACAACGTACTGTGATGCGTGTGGTTATTGGTTTTATGTACAACAAGAGCAAATAAACAGGATACAGTCCTCAAAGAATCTTCTGATTTCAGCTAACCGATGTGGAGGAAGCTCCTTGATGTCCGTGTAATGACGGAACTCAGGGTCATCAGCACAAACTGCTATGATCTTGTCATCCCTCTCACCCTGTGCAAGAAATCATTATAAAATATAATTTTTCTCCAAATTTATACTTTAATAGGTGACAAAATTATTCATTTTGTGTGATGTCAAAAGGCAAGTGAATTATAGAGTGAACAGAAATTGCAGTTAGATCCCTAAAATGGTTTTGACATACATTTAACAATGTTTCTTGCAACCTAAAATTTTATTTTGTTGCTCCCAAGAACTGAACCTCCATCTCAATCTAACACTTATAAAAATGGACTAGGATTCGAAAGGTTAATGGTGATAAATTTCATCATATCATACCAACTACATGGTGGCGTGGTTTTGTTTATCCTTTAAACAGACTTTGATGTTCAATACACTAGTACTGGCAGGGAAGCTACTAATTACCTAATATACCCTTTTTTCTCAGAGTAGACCTTCTCACCGTCAGTTATATTTTATTGCCCCAAAACAAATCTTAATGACAAACAGAGCAAGGAGGAGGCAACTTATACCTGGTCAATCATGGGCATTAGTCCAATAGCGCGAGCACGAAGGAATGAACCAGGAAGCACGGGCTCCTTCTCGGAAGAAAAGTTCAAATTTAAGTACAGTTGAAATTTTGGCCGGAAACAGACATTTCTGTTAAGTACATGAACAAAAATGAAATTAAGCATAAACTACCTGCATTAGAACCAGCACGTCCATAGGATCACTGTCTTCACAAATGGTTCTTGGGATAAAACCATAGTTGTGTGGGTAAACAACGGATGAGTAAAGAATCCGATCAACCTAAGTTGTCAAGCTCTTTCGTTAGTGTGTTATTTATGCTTCACCACAGACAGGTAGGAATGATAAGTTTGGAAATGGTAAATGAGAATACTATCTTAAAAGAAAATCTCTCATATTTTTTAAATACATCAAAGCATATGGAACGGAAGATGGGGAATGTAATTAAGAACATGGAAACCTTACCTTTATAAGTCCACTAGTCTTGTCCAACTCATACTTGACCTTACTACCTTTGCCAATTTCAACTACCTGCCATAGGAATTGATTAAGAAAAATTTGTTAGGAAACAAGGGTTCCATGAAATAATCTATGTACGCAAAATGTAAGATTTTAAGTTCCAATCTGATGGTGAGATCAACTCATTTAATCTCAACCAAGTCATAAAATGAGGAGTTCAATATCATCTCATCCTTGTTAAAGCTAAAGTAATTTTTCAAGCTGCATTTAGAACAAGTAGAAATCTGTAATATTTGAATGATTGTCAGAAATATATTAATATAAGCCCCAAAACTCAGATGGCCATGATGTTGCAAGAAGCGTCCTGATAAGTTTGTATTTTTATTTTTATTTTTTGTTTTCTAATATTAGGAAAATAAGTTACAAAACAGCGACAGCTTACACAGTTGAAAACTGTTGGAGCTCCTGGTCCTGCATGTAGAAAAACAAGTTTTCAGTCCAAATACAAATTTTTTTGAAGAGGATCTCTTGAAGCACAGTAATTTCAACTTGATCGAGGAGAAAACAAGTAAAACAGTTTTTTTCCTTGAAAAACTTAAATTCATCATAATCGAAAGCGACCCCCAAACAAATCCAAAAAGTTGGTGTACCAATCTCTAAGTCGTGCCAGGGGTGAGCAGCAACAGTTCTCCGTGACAGAGAAGAAAGTATTCTTTCATTGAGCTTAGGATGAGGTAAACCCGAATTCCATGCACTTGAATCTTCATGGTGAGCCATATCGACTTACCTACATCATCATCAAAATCATCACACACACACATACACAAAAAACACACTACTAATCCGAACCATCAAGAATAATTTCAATCAAAGCAACAATCAGAAGAGTCCACCTCAGTTCTTAACAGGATTGATTAAAAAAGACCTAGGAATCTATGTGTAAGAGGTATATACATGATAAAACAATTAATTAGACCTAACTAGGTAACAGACATGGGGTAAAAAAAATGAAGAACAAGTTGCATTAGATCGAGAAGAAAAAGAAGGAGCATAACAATGAAGGAGGGCTAAACAGAGAACAAAAAGCCAATCATGAAAAGGAACCTTTTTGCTTATTGGGGTTGTACAGGTTAGGGAACTTACAGATGAGAGAGAGAGATAGAGAGAGAGAGTGGAAGGTGGTGAGTGAAAGTGCGAAACAGGCGAAGAATAAATAGGGAAATGTACGTATGCATCACACGGTTCAGCGGCAAGTCGTTGAGTGATCTGTGTCGTGTGATTAAAGTGGACTTCCATCACACGGCCACGGATGGAAGCGCTATTTTTGGATTTCGGGCAACGTCATAGCTCTCAGTCTGTGTCTGTACTGACCGCTGGCTGCTACCAAACTATCATGAGAGTTTTTTTCTTTTCTTCTGTGCTGGCTGCTCATAAAAAATAATTTTAAATCAACTTATTTTACCAATTATTAATAATTAAACCACGCGTTTAAAAATATATGGTATAGTATATAAAATTCATTTTATTAATAAATTAAATAAGACATTAAAATGAGGATTAAATTATTTTAAATATCTTACTGCTTGATGGAGTTTCTTCATTGGTAACAGCAAACACATTAGTGATAATTTAGGTTGGGCAACATTACAAATGATGGAACAGAAAAAATTAATATCCGCACTTATGCGTGCAACCAAAGACGCATTTAAAATTTGTGCGGAGAATAGATGCAGTTGAAGTTGACGGCAGGGGAAGGTGTGTGTTATGAAACTAAGAAGTTAAGAGTGAGAAACTATAAATACGTGCAACAGTGATTTAAAAGCAGACCCATTGAAAAATGCAGGTGACAGTGATCAAATAACACGTGTTGGAGACTCACCCAAAATAAACATCTGTGCAAGAAAGAGACCGCGTTTAGTTGTCTAACTCGTAGACTAAGTCTATCTAATCAATAATTTTTAGATTAAATTTGACAGACAATATTTTTACAAATATTTGTAAGGGAAATATTATATTGCCAACGAAAATGTAAAATATAATATTTTATTAATATAATAATAATAATAATTTAAAAGTTTATGTTTATTATTATTTCTATTTTACCGAAGAAGAGTTATAGAATGTATATTATAACACTTCTCTGTCTATAATCAATTTGATTCTATATTCAAAAATTAATATTATTTAAGCAAAGTTATATTGCAAAAAAATTCACTTTTTACCGTTACTTGAATTTTTTTTTAATAAATTAATGTATTTACTGATGTTTTTTTTAATGTAAAAACGTTTTATTAATTAAATTAAATGAACGCCATTAAATTTTAAATAATAGTTTTTGAGGACTATCTAGAAAAAAAAAAAGGAAATATGAATAATGAGGGACACTTTACAATAATTAGAAAAAATTAAAGAGATTCATGGAACAACCAGTTTTAAAAAGATGCTCATTTGATTATATATATATATATATATATATATATATATATATATATATATATATATATATATATATATGTGTGTGTGTGTGTGTGTGTATTTAATAAATTATAAATAAATAAGAAAATGATAAGAAATTTAAATTTGTATTATTCAGGTAATTTATATTTTTATCCTTTCTAAAAAAATTCATTTGACTTATTTTAAAAAATAAATTACTGTGAAAAAAAGAAGAAGATAAAATATAGGGTAAGTGGAAAGGGGACTTGGAATAAAAACAAAGAAAGCCTGATCCTGGAAATCCTTTCAATAAAACCACTATTAGAAATAATATTATTAATATAATAATAAATAATAATTAAAAATTGTTTAATGGTTGTAGGTAAAAAGAAACTGTTAAATATTTTTATTTTATTTTAAATTACACTCAAACTTTAAAAGGAGGTTTGGCTAATTTTTATGGATCTATTCACATTTTATTAGAATTAAACAAATCTGTCAAATCAATTTCTGTCAATTTTTTATATAATAAATTACATAATCTTCATAAATTACATATAAAAAAAGAATTATCATAAAACCATAATGTAAATCATGTGTTCTAAAAGATTATAACACTAATATATTAATTAATTCCTAAAAAAATAATTTAAGAAAATAAATTATAAGAAATATTTTAATACTATAAAATATTCTAAATGTGCAACTAAGTAAATTAATACATTTATAAGTATATGCTGATATTTAACTTTATATGAGTAATTTCATTAACCGCGATTTGATAATGAAGAAAGTAAAATAAAAAAAAAAAAAATATATATATATATATATATATATATAATCTTTTTTAACAAAAATCACATTGAATTTGAAAAATAATTAAAAATTAAATACTTATATAATTATATAATTATAAACTATCCCTATATTTATTAATATAATCACTTTTAATTAGAAACAAAATATTTTTTAAAATTAAAACTTTTAAATTGATATCCTATTCTTTAATAATTTATAAGTATATAATTATAAAATACTTCTTATTATAAATAATATTTAAAAAAAATCAATAAATAAATAATATCACATTAAAAATATATAATTATATGTTAAATTATTTATTTAATTTTTATAATAATTTTTATGTTTATCACAATCTATCAAAATAATATATTAAAATAGTATTATATATATATATCAATAATTGAATACTTATATTTAATAAAAATATTAGAACAATTTTCATATAAATAAAAATTATAAATATGAAAATAAAAAATTCTGTAAAGATAATTCGTAAAATAATTATTTTTCTCACTTATTTTCTTTTTCTTATAGATAACAGAAAGTAAAATAAGTGTATTAATTGAAATATTTTTTACTACCAGAGAGACATTTTAGTTTTATCTTCATTTATTATTCACTTTTCACTCTAATATAATCCTATAATTTTTTTTATAATATATTTAAAATTAGATATTAAAATTTAATATTTTGATCTTTTTATAAAATGACACATATTAGACAATGATTATACGTAGAATAATTATCACAAATCGTAATTTTAAATGTAATTCTAGTACAGAAATAATAAGATAATGAGTTACAAAGATAAACACTTGTGTATCTGTTCAATACCTATTTATCATAAAAAAGTGAAAGTAAAGATAAAAAGATCACTTCAAATGTAATATACAAGTTTTTTTTTTTTAAGTTATAAGGTTAGGTAGGTTTATAATATAATGATTTATTTTAAAATTTATACTTTTTTCTACTTATTGTGAATACCTTATTACAACAAAATTAGCAATGTTACTTACTATCCTATTCAATTATCTTCTTATAAATTATTATTTACATTAAATAAAATAAATTTATTTTTCCAATAAAATTTGTGTATCACATGGTCCATGTCAGATTTTTTAAGTGGAGTATTGATGAATATATATATATATATATATATATATATATATATATATATATATATATATATATATTCAATGCTACTTTCTATTATTTTTTTCAATTTCAATATTAACAGAAATTCTTTAAAATTTTATAATATATATATATATATTAAAATTAATAATTATTAAATATTTTTTATATATTTATAATTTTTTTATATTTATATATTATTTATTAATAATATATTATTTTAACCTCACGGATAAATAATAGAGATCCACAATTACACGTAATCTACCAGCTAGGTGCTTTAATATTAGGTAATTTGTTACATACATTCTCCCAAAATATTAATGGTGTGTTGAATAAGAGGGAAATAAAGAAATTAGTAAATGATAAAAATAAAGCTAATAATTTGACTTAATATAGGAGATTTTTAAATTAAGAGAAATATATATATATATATATATATATATATATTTAATGTTTGAAAATTTGTTTTCTGGAATGAATTTAATATATTTTGAAACGAAATGTTAAAATTTTAATAATTTTATACTAATTTTAAAATTATGTTCCGAATTAATATTTAATTTTGTTTGATAATATACACTCATTTCTGAATCTGATCATTAAAATGGGATCAATAAGTTACTGTAATTAAGGAAATATCAAATTTAACTTTCATTGACTTTAATAAATATCAATCAATTTTGGTTGCAACAGCAACCATGTCAAGAGCTACATTGATTATTTGATGTGACTAGTATACTATACATTTTAGGGATTAAATTAACTTCTGATTGCAATAATCATATTTTTATTTTTTATATCTTAAAAAAAAGGTTAATTTAATATATTGATAATATTTTTTAAATTTGATTACTAAATTAATTATTTTCACATTAAATTATATTTTAAAAATATTTTGTGCATGTGTTTCACAAATGAATATTTTTTTAAACATTTACAAAGTAACTAGTTGATGTACATAATGAATATTAAATTATTAATATGGATGCAGTAACACAGTCTATCTGCTACCCTCTCAAGAAAAAATTATCTATTATCTGTTTTGCATTATTTGTTAAGCATCTGTTTAAAAAATATTTATATATTTATAATTATTTATGAATATTTATATATATTTTTATTTTTAAATAAAAATATTTAAAATTTATTATATAAAATATATATTTTAATTTTATCAAAAAATACAATTTAAATAAAATAATAAAAATATTAATATATATATATATATAAAATATTAATTTTTTTATAAATACAAATTTATAATTTTAATTCTAAATAATATTTCAATAATTGATATTTTTTAAACCAATATTTTTATTTTGATAAATTTATTTTAAAAATAATATTAAATAAAATTACTAACGAGTGATATTATAATATTTATACTTATATTTGCTTTAGTAATTAAAATACTTATGTAAGAATATTTTTAACATATTTTGTGTTTTGTGATGAATTTTATTTCTAGATATTAGTCAACATTTTTTTTTCTCCTTAAATACTTTGCATAAAGTTATAAAACTTGCTAAAAAAATGTGGACAATGAGTTTGTTTCTAAATATAAGACAAGAAAGAGAATCTGATTTAAGTACTTTATTTTCTCATCTCTACTAAAATATTTTTGGGACATTCATTAGTGTTGCTCATCTGATATTGACATTCTCAAAGCAATGATTCACCATACTGTAATGACATGCATGTTAGCCTACACATATTGCCTACTGCCAGAGCTTTTTCTGTATGTGCTCATGAACTTGGCCACAAATTCTGCAGAGAACATATCAGTCGACAATATTATACTTAAAACAGCAGGAAAGGCATGCATATATATTAGGAATTAGAAATACTACATGCATACAACAATTTGTATAACTTTATGTATTTATCTCTTTCTATAGTTATGATGCAATAAGACAGAAACTTTGTTATACAATTGTAAGAATCATTGTACAAGGAACATTCGTCCTTAATATGTCTTAGTTATTATGTTATTTTTACTAGGAAATCTATGTGGTTAGCTTAAATGCTATTACAAGGGTTATTATGCCTTACCTTCTAACTTTATTAAAGCTGTTATTCCTGGTGGGAGTCTTCTCTCCTGTTCATTACAGACTTTGATTACTAATTTCACAAAAACAACTTACATAAAAGGTTGAAGAGGTTGTCTAGAATTAGAATGAAAAGGGGAAGGAGCACATAGACATGTTAAAAATGTTTCAACCTGAAGAAAAACTATGGAGGGAGAAACTCACATAATAAGCATGCCAGTAGTATAGCTCCCTTTTTAAGCTGGCGTCAATTCTTTTAAGGAGGTGTTCTACGAGTTTCTGCATGTTTGAACAACATGTGCTTTATGCACAAGTATTTAAATGAGTTAAATAAATTATTTATCTACTCTTATTCAGTACCTGGAGAATCAATTTCGGCTGGACAAAATCCAAGAGAAGCATTTGAAATTTCCCTCGTATTGAGAGTAGTAAGCTGATAAAACCATAACAAGATATGAATAAAAACTTAAACCATAATCTGATTGACAGTTTTCAATTTACAAGAAGATGTTACTAGAGTATGTTAGTTTTATTCAGAAACCAGATAATAAGATGCCATTAGCTTTCAATTCTGTCTTATAGAACGTAAGGTTGAGAAATTTCTTGCCGTGAAAATGATGGATCAACTAGGATCTCTGTGGCAACTTCTATTACGGTCTCCTCCCATACCACTGAAATCGGTTGTTCTTCTGAAAATGGATAGCTGTCCATCATAGTACCCCATTTAGTCATTGCAATTGGACACAATTTTCGAGGAATGTTAAAATAAATGTTTCCAGTCAGAAAGTTCTTACTTGTGTGCTTTGCACGCTTCAAGAGCCATGATTGCTTTTCTGAGGTTCTGCTTAGATTTTGTAGCAATTTTTGCAGCAAAGTTCATGGACAAATCTATGTTCTCAATCTTTGCTATCTGCGTAAGAACCTCAACAATCTGTATAGTTGAAGGTTCATGTATGTTAATTAAATTTGCTTTTTTGACGTTAAGTCCAGTGGATTTGGAGATGCCACAAGTTTTTTTGGGGTGTCAAAAATATAAAATATAACAAGTTTGAAGGGCCTTTGACAGCAAAATAACATTTTGAGAAATGAGAATGATCTATAAAATAAATACATATAGAAATGGAAAAAAAAATCCATGATTTGATATGTTTTGATGTTAACTTTCACATATTCTAAAATTTATTCTTACTTCATGAATTTGAGGAAGATCAACTGGGATAATTTTGAACCGGTTTTTGACAGGTTCAATAATGTCTGCATCATCTTCACAGCAGATTACTAATTTGCATATATCAGAATAGCGGTCTATGATCCATTTGACAATGTGCTGGATATTATCTACTGCTTTGTCGACCTCGTAAAGAACTATTACTGAAATCAAGAGAGCCCACATACATTAGCAAAATTCATATTAAAAGATAAATCTGTTTATGAAGTTAAATGAACAAGTAATTAAGCGACTAACCTTTAAAATCTGACTTGAAATTAATATTGCTGACTTCAGGGGCAATCGCATATATATTGCTAATTTCTTTGATTAATCCCATTAAAGCATATTTAGCATTTGGTTCTGAATTTACATCTAGTTCCATGTGATGAGGACTGGATGTTATTGGGACAAATACTTTCTTAAGCCTTTGGTCCTGTCAATATAGTAAAAATACTTTGAGGTGCAACGTTTTGAAATAATACTCATAAACGAAATTTTAGTTTGAACTTATCATATACATCAACCTAGAGGTAGGAAAGTGAGAAATCCCAACCTGAATAGGGAAGTGTCTTAAATCATGAGACAGCTGCAAAAGGGTCTAATAAGTTCAGGTTAGAAATACAAACACTTCTGAAAGGAAAATTATGGGAAGAAACATACATTACAACATGCATCACCATATATTTCTCGAAGAAGAGCCATTGCTAGTTCTCTTTTCCCGGAACCAGGGGGTCCTTTCAGCAAAATATGAGGACAAGACCCATGAGACACCTGAAAAGCAGGGTAGGTTGAGTCATAACTATACAAATACAACAAGTACAGTATGAGAAGAGGACAAAACTATGCAATTCTTTAGGTGTTTTTGTTATTATCTTCAATCAGAATTAGAGTTTCATACCAATAAAGTAATCTCTGTATAATTTTTTTTTTTTTAAAAGTCAGCTTCAGACTAAAAATTTTCCAATTCTAATCGAAGAACATAAAAAAAAAGAAAAACCACTTAGCTATGTCTAAGTTTTGTCCACATGAAAACTAAGAAGACCTGACAGGAAATAAGAAGTTGAATAAATTAACAAATTTGTGAGGGAAGAAGACAATTAAGGGACAGAATAGGAGGCATATGTAAGTATTTGGAGACATACCAAATCCTTGAGAAGCTGAGCTTCTTGTCTGTTGCAAATGAAGCCATTAAATGAAGCAGGTTGGTGTTTATCTGCCAAGAACTGTGGAAGGCTTTCCACTACCACTGCTCTCTCAATGAAAGAAGTTTCGTCAATGGGTCGACGTTCAGGCGATTTTCTAGAGGTTCTACAGTTGCCTGTTCTCATGCAAGAAAACCATGTATCTTTCTGGTTCTTTTTTCTGTTGGCTGTGAATTTCCTCATGCTTGCAGTTGTTTTTCCACTACCTTCGCTTGTTACACTACTTGGCTTCCCAGTGCCACTGCCCTTTCTACTCGTAGCAGCAGAGCTCAAACCCGTGGTTGATCGGGACAAGATATTCATATTCATGTTAAGATCACCATTATTTCCTTTACCCTCAGATGGGGTTCTCGTGGAGTTCACCGTAGGCCTTGGACTGAAATACTCACACTGTTGGATGCGTTTTGGCAACGAAGAATTCCCCCCTTGGAAGGCATTGCATTCACGAGAAAAGAAAAGGTCACCCGGTTTAATGGAATCAGTGCTTTCAAGCACTGACGAATAATCACTAGTGGAGTCTTTAGATAGCTTCACCTGTGCTATCATGTCGTTGATTTCTCCAACCAAAGGCGCTTTGAAAGGAGAAACTTCTCTTTGTTTCAGAACCATGTCATTGATTCTGCCTCCAGGGTTGCTCTCTTGAATCCTCAATCTCGGAGCAGTCACTGATCTCTTGTAGTGCGGCTTCTCAGTTCTTTGCTCTCTGAAAGGAGACACGTTTCTTCCAAGTTCAGGTCTCGGCAAAGGACTGACATTTCTGCGATTATTCAAACCAGTTATGGGGGATGATGAAGCAGCAACATCTTCTGGTACGCGCAGCTTATAGGGTGATTTGCTATTGTGTCTTCTCCGTGGAACTGGATTTGTTGAAGCCGATGATGTTTCATGTTCAATCCTCGAAGGGTGCCTCCTGTGTAGTGCCATGGGGCTTTTGTTCATTAGAGTGCGTGCTTTAGTTTCTTCTAACGTTAAGTTTCTTCTTTCTCGTTCGTGGCGTGGAATCTCCTGCCATTCAGTCTCTGTGTCCGATGGCTCATAACCACTCCGTCCCTTCCTAGTTGAGTTTGAAGTCTGAGGAAATGGGTTATAGTAAGGTGTTGACTGATCCATCTATGAACAAGTTTGGTTACCTAAACGTTGATCGCGCTCAAACAACTAATGAACCTGGTGTTTAAGTCCTTTCTGTTTAGAAAGAGTGGGGTGGAATCTGGTAAGAAGTAATGATATAGTGACAAAGAAAGAGACAAGTTTGATACTTTGAGACAATGCAAGAAAAGGGTATCTTCCAACGCAAGGAAAAAGAAGAAGAATTGGGAACAGAAGCACGATGGTTTCGAAATGAGATGCATTGGTGACGATAATGACAACATGTTTGTACGTGGGTAGATGAAAAAAATGTGTCGTTTAGGCCATTGACATTTCTTCGTGAGAATATGTCATTATGTTGTCGTTTCTTAGATTGGAATTTGGAGCATCTTGTGAGGTGCCAGCATTTGGTGACGAGATTACCCAACTGGACTTGGTTATCAACGTTGTCCATCCTGTTCTAGCCATCTGGAGATGAACTTAGTTAAATCCACCGATACAATATGTTGGATTAATTATTATTATTTTGTTTTACTTTATTTGTTTGTTTATATTATTTTTTTACCCTATAGTTTTATGTTTCAAAAAATAAGTAGAAAAGAACATAATGTTGTTTCCATCCATGTTTGAAGCAGAAGTATGGTAAGATATAGTAAGATGGTACTGGAAAAATCAAAGTTTGCGTGACAAATAAAGTATATATTCCTCAAATTTCAGAAAACTGAAATTGAACCGAGAAAGTTCAAGCAGAGGTCGACCTCAGATTTTATACAAAATCCCTCTTTACCAGCATTGAGTGGAGACCCTCAAACGAGAGAAAGGAGACTCTGCAAAAGAACATTCACGTGAATAAAAAACAGAGGTACCTAATTTCACTCAAGCTTTTTTGGATCGAAGGGGATTCCTGGAGAAAGAAACAAATGAAAGAGAAAGAGGTTATTGCGTGAAAATAAATTTATTTTTTATTTTTATATTTTTATATAATTATCTATTATTATTATTATTATTATCAAATAAAATAAAATAAAATAAAATAACGGATTATGTCTCATTTTCTCTGCAAATTTTACCATATAAATTTTAAAATTATATATATTACCTTTTCGTTATCTCAAATAGTCTATATTATATTGGTTCGAAATATTAACACTCATACTCTTGTACTCTTTGTTTAATTTATCTATATTTTGTTAAATCTACCTAACTTATATTTTTAATATTTTATTATAATTAATGCATGGATAAAGTAAAATAACTAATACATCTAAGAGAACATATAAAGAAGTAAAATAAAAATATATATGAAAAATTTAATATTATTTTAAATAATAAAAATAATTTAAATAACTAACAATAATTATGAGAATTTTTTTAGATTTTACCAAACCAGTTTTTGTGGCATAACCTATAGGCCTGCAAATATTTTAAATAATAATTTAGAGTCGAGTGTTTTTGAAAAATTAAAATTAAATTATTTTAATCTAATACATATTATTTTAAATATTTTGAAAAAATATAGTTAAATAATATTTTTGGTTACATGATCCCACTCTTTTACAAATTGGTGTTCAATTGATAAAAAAATGTGCATAATTTTAAAATTCAGAAGATAAAATCACGAAATTGAAAGCTAAACGATACAATTTACGAAATTAAAATTTCGATACTAAAATTCGGGAAATTAAAATTTCAAAATTCACGTAAATTAAAAAGTTCACTAATATAATTTGTAAAATTGCAAAAATCAAATGTTAAAATATGTAATTTAAAACATAATTCCACATTGAATTTAAAGTCACCTAACATTGGTCACACCATTAAACTATTAATAATTTGACAACTAATTCGTTGAAAAGTAAAATGTTTACTATTTGATTTTTATTTAAGATAATAAGAATTCATAAAATTAAAATTTTAGGGTAACTTTTGTCAAAAATGTAAAATTTAGAGATGAAATATGTAATTAAGATTTTGTTTTTTAATTGCGTATGAATTAATTTTAATTATGATTTTTTAATTATACATAAATTTGTCCAAAAATGTAACAAAGTTTATATATCATTAAAAGGAGTTAAGCTAAGAATGTTTCAAATTTTGTAGAAATTATTGGACAATCCTTTCAACCTTCTTGGACAAACTACAGATTTGTTTGGGAACCCAAGTAACTAGGCCTTCATGACTTTTGTTTTGTTTTTTTCAAGTTCAACATTTTGGTTCTTATCTCTTCGTTCCTAGCCCAAATTACATGGCCCAGACAGAGTCAAAGCTTAATTTTTTTTCTTTTCTTTAACTCACTCCCACTCCCACTCCCAAGTTATTTGTGTCATAATTTTGTTATCTTATTGGATTTAATTTCAAAATTATTTATTAAATAAATTAAGTTAAAAAATATATAAAATTTATTTGACTAAAACAAGTCAAGTTTTAAGTTATAAAAAAATATTAAAAATCAACTTGATTAAGTAAATATAAATAATAATGGTAATATAATAATTATTTTTTATATATTATATTTTAGGCTTAAATACGTTATAAAGTAAATAATTTTCAAAAGTTATTTAAAGCGAATCTAGCTTAATTTCATCATGCTAAGTATGAAGAAAACAAATTCTGAAGCAAATGAAATACATAATTAAAGACATTTGAACTTGTATGAAATTTCATCCAACCAAACTTAGCTTAACTATAGAAAAGATAAATTCTTTAATCTATTATACTTTAATTTAATGACAAATATATTCAATTATCAATTAAAAAGTACTAAAAAATTGAAAATTTCATTTACAAGATAGATTATTTAAAAACCATATCAAAGTACAATTAATATTTCTAACATGAAGATGACATGTTAGACAATTAGACATATAATTAAAAAAAAAGTATTAAAAAATATGCCTGGTAGCTATAGATATCATCGAATACAACATGATGAGTGCAACAACAAAACCTTATATAATTCCATAATTCACATATGACTTACCAAGTCAACAGAGCTATTGAGAAAAAGTAACTCATTACTAATTTATTAACAAGTTTTTCTGCAATGTTATGCAGTCAAATGTCAAAACATGTTTGTTGAAAAATCAACGTATTTCTATTTGTACGATGCACGGGGATGAAATTTTTTTGTTTTCACAAACGATGTTGAATTTGGCTAACAATAATGTGTTGCTATATATTGTGGAGCTTGTATGTGATAGAAATTATGCAATAAATAATTTACGAATTGTTTTTTTTTTATGCTGTAGAAAGTTTTTATTCTGTGGTGGTGCATGCAAAATTTAGATTGAAGATTTTACAGACAAATAATGCAACTTCTGCTATGATTGACACAGCGAGAATCAATTTTGGTGTGCGTCTTAAAAAAAAGGTTACAAGTCATCGATTATCTTGCAGAAAACTATAAAAGTTTGAAAACAGAACGTAGATGATGCGCAAACAGTTGCACTGATTAAATTATTATTTCTCAGGTAGAAGAATATTACATTATCGTGGAGATATTGCTGAAGATAACATAAAAAATAAAGTACAAATAACCAATGACGAACAATTCAAAGTTCAAAGCCTGCATAGGCCAATTTCGAAAAGAAAAACTGCATTAGTTTATTAAGCTGTCTGCAGAGTGATAAAGTCATAAAAGTGTATTAATTGGTTTATCAGACTTGAAAAATCAGACAAATTGGTTCAAGTATTCATCCACGGTTGAGTACTTAACGTGTGGATAAGCCTCTGAAGCTTCAATGTCTTTGGCAGGATCGATCTCATACACTGCATCTCCCCTTATCTGTTGTGAGTGATACAACGCCAATAGATAATTATTTGGGAAGGATGACTCTGCAGCAACCAAACACATTATAAATCAAGATAAACTTAATGTCACATAATTCATGGAAAGTAAAAAAATAGAGTGTTGTTACTTATTACTTACCCTGAATCTCCTTGAGAATCTTTTCCTCTGGAACATAAATTTTTTCAAGAGTCTTTCCAATTTTTTTCTCCCACAAAGACACGATCTCATTCAAGGTCAAATAATTGGCAGGGAGTCTTAGGTGTACGGCTTTGTTCAAGGCATTAGGGTCATTCGCTGCTGCGATGGTGAAAGTCCCCACATCAGCCTCAGTCACATATGCTCCTGAAACAAGTTAACAACATTAAAACAATTCAAATAGTTAGTGTTTGTGACTAATTGAAGCACGCATTGCTACCTTTGACATTTCCATCTCCTTGAATGTATATCTTGTCGCGAGGAGGAACAGTGATGTCAATCTGTGCCAGGTTGCGTAAGAAGTAACCAGTAAAAGCATGGCAACATAGGTAAGTGTAAGGGACTCCCTCAGCTTCAATCACTCTCCGGATTTTTGCTTTTTCCTCGAAAACTTCTCTCACTGGTTCCACTGCATCATGACGATCCACATCCAACCCAAATTCAGATGGGAAGAATCTCTGTTGGCAAATGAAATCAACAATAAGCACTTACTATGTACCAAGTAAAAATCCAACCTTCAAAGGAATATAGGTTAAAGTACTTCTTATAACACAGTCTTTCTAAAAAAAAGGTGTTTAGTTTAAAGTTAGTGTCTTTGGTTGTCAGGTTTAGGATACTGCTTGGACCAGGTCATGGACAAAAAGAAAAAGAAGGGATATTTTTTAGGAAGCACATGCACACCTTGACGTTTCCTGCTTCTTTTATTGCTGCAATGATCTTCACCTGGTCTTCTATCAGCAGTCTACCAAATGAACATATCACAACATCAACTTGTTTGATTGCGTTTACCAGACTTTGATGATCATTCATATCTCCCTGCAGATTTCATTATAACAGATCAATTAGTAAGCAGAATCAGTCGTTCAAAATAGAAAATGGTAATGAAATGAAGACAGGAAGCAACCTGGATGAGAATGACTCCACTATTTTGGAAGTTCTGAAGAAGCTCATCCCTGGTTTCAGGATTGGCAGCTGTGACCAGCCGTGGCTTGTTAACAGTGGCTGGAGTGTCCCTAACCAACACATAGGTGGGATTGCC